CTTTCTCCTGCTCTTCTGGCCTACTACTCTGGGTGGGCCTGAGTTGCCTCTCCTCACCTAATCCCTTCGGCTGACTGCTCTTCTCTCTGGCTTTCTAGCTTTTAATCCCCTTTCTCCTGCTCTTCCTGCTTGCTACTTTGGATGTCCCTGAGTTGTCTCTCCTCACCTGTAACCCTGGGGCTGACATTATGCTGAATGAAATAAGTCAATCACAAAAGGACAAATATTTTATTAGTCCATTATTGAATAAAGTCAAGGAAAGGTTTATATAGGGAAGGAAATTTTCTTTGTGGGTTACCAGAGGTGGGAGGGTAGGGTAGGTAACACTGTTAGATAGGTAGAGACAAGTATTGATTTGGGTGAAATGAAGTGCTATGTACCAAATGTGAGTGATCAACACAGTGGCACTGAGGAAGAGTAAGATATAGAGAGGTACATCAGAGGTACAGACAACAAAGACGAACCCTTTTGCACATACAGTACTGCATTGTCAGTGAAGGGAAATATGGATATATGGGTGGATAGATGGGAGGGCAGGCTGAACTATTAGGTATGTCTATGCAGGGTCAAGTATGCCCATGACCATGTATAGGGCTGGCAGACAATGTTTCTACAAGTGTATTGGTATGTTCTGTAAGAATTCCCAGGTATATAGTAGAGATGACATGGTTGTGGTCTCTTCTCAGCCAGAGCCAACTACCCAGAGGGAGGGAGTAGTTGGACCTGTGGGTTCAGGACCATAGTCACAGAAGACATCAAGCTTAATTGACATAACATACTACACAAAACATTGTTCCACATCCTACTGTGGTGAGTAGCAACTGGGATCATAATAGCTGGCAAATGGCCATCTAGATGCAACAATGAGTGTCTCCTTGTTCAGAGCAAAGAACAATGAAGAAAAACAAAGATACATGGAAACAAATAGTCCAAGTGACTGGTACACCATGTGATCCTCAGCCTACATGACTATGAGACCAGAACTAGATGGTGCCCAGCTACCACTCACAACCATTCGGAGGGGGAATCTGTGTAGGAGATCCTGGATGAAGAGAGAGAACAATGTGGAACAAAACACAAAATCCTTAAAAAAAAAAAGGTACCAGAATTGCTGGTGTAATGGAGCTTCATGGAACTCCTGAGACTATGGTCCCTAGGTGCCCTTCAGGTCTGTAATTGAACCCACTCCTGTGGCTTCCAGCCAAACAAAAGACAGGCATATCAGCTGAACATTTACATTAGGTAGATACAATCCTTGGAGAGATCAATCATGGGGGAACAGAAGAGCTGTGTATGCACAGGGAGACAGCTCAGGGGGCAGGAGTGCATGGGAGCGAAGGACAAAGGGAAGAGGTAACTATGGGGAGGAACTGGGAGGGGAGCTGTTGCACTGTGGTAAATTGAAGTCAATATCATGAGACAAATTGTATGTGAGCTGCTGTATGGAAAGTGAATTTGCTCTGCATACTTTTACCCAAATCACAATTTAAAAAAAAAAAGAAGAAAGAAAGAAACTATAAGAGATTTACAGGAATTGAAGAACATACCATGCTCATAGATAGGAAGATTGAACACTGTGAAAATGTCAATACTACCCAAAGCAATCTATACATTCAATGCAATTTCTATCCATATTCTATCAACATTCTATAAATACAAGAAAAAACCAATCAGTTATTTCATATGGAAAGGAAAGAGACCTCAAATAAGCAAAGCACTACTGAATAAGAATGAAGTAGGAGGTTTCACACTCCCAGATCTCAAAACCTACTATACAGCTATGATTGTCAAATGTACAATGACCGTTTGAAACATAGAGCAGTGGAACAGAATTGAGAACCCAGAAACAGATCCATTCTATGGTCAGCTGACTCGACAAAGGGCAGAAATACACACCATGAGGAAGAGACAGTCCCTTTCACAAATGGTGCTGGCAAAACTGAATATTCATTTGAATAAAAATGAAACATGATCTGTATCTCACACCATACACAAAAACTAACTCCAAATGGATCAAAGACTTAAATGTGAAACTAAAACTATAACATTCATCAAAGAAAACTTAGGGGCCCTAATTTATGGAACAAATAGACTACCAAGCATAACTCAATATGCAAAAACAGAATATAAACTAGATGAGTGGGACCTTCTAAAAATAAATTTCTTATGTGCATCAAAAGACTAGGAGCTCTGGTGGCATAGTTCCTAAGGCATATGACTGCTAACCAGAAGGCTGGCGGAATGCTATGAGTCAGATCCGACTCGGTGGCAATGGGTTTGATTTTTAATCAAAAGACTTCTCCAAAAGAGTAAAAAGAGAACTTACAGAATGGGAAAAAATATTAAGGCAAACATATCGAACAAAGGACTTATCGTTAAAATTTATAGAAAATTCCAACACCTCAATATCAAAAAAACAAACAATCTGATTAAAAATGGGAGAAGACATGAACAGACACTTCACCAAAGAAGATATTCAGGCAGCTAATAAACACATGAAGAAATGTTTGTGATCATTAGCCATTAGAGAGATGCAAGTCAAAACAACAATGTAATACCATCTGATCCTAGCACTAATAGCAAAGTTCAACAAGACAGAAAATAGTAATGCTGATAAGGATGTGGAGAAATTGGGACTCTCACACACTGCTGGTGGGACTATAAAATGATACAAGCACTGTGGAAATCAGTATGTTGTTGTTGTTGTTAAGTGCCATGGAGTTGTTTCTGACTCATAGCGACCCCATGCACAGCAGAACGAAACACTGCCCGATCCCGCACCAGCCCCACAATCCCTGCTATACTTGAGCCCATCATTGC